AAAGCAATAGCAACATATAATGGAACGACGGACACAAAGTTAACCAAATACTAAAGTGAGTAGACCAACGAAAGCAAATACCTGTACAGAAGATGGGAAGCTTGGAGAACTACTTAACTAAATTACTAACCTAACCGGTGCGGGAACAGACGTCGGGAAACAGAGAACAGCAGAGCAGAAGAACGATTTCGGGCGCGTCCCGCTATTAAATAGTGCGCACGGAAGGGCGGGGCAATATTTGCATGGCGGAGGCGTGGTCAGGCTTTGACCAATGACGCGTCTGGGTCACGTGCTCTCACCACGTGACCCCAGACCGTATAACGCAGTGATTGGCCTGTTACATTGTATTAACTAGTCTCTGTATATTATTATCTAAGTCCATGTCGACCAAACATAAGACTAAGTTGTGAGAAAACTGCGTTTTGAAAGCACATGTTGTACACAGACTCGCAAAATCTCACGTAATCTAGCCATATAAGAAATCGTGGGCGTGAATAATTATGTTTAGGTCCCCGCCAATCACTATGATTGACAGCGCTTCCGGGCACGGTTCTGGACAGTCAGGCTGTGTCCCGTTCTGTGCCCGCTCAGGCACGGAATGGGACGGGCACAGTTTAGGACACAACAGCCATCGCGTGTCCAGAACTGTGCGCGACCTGAGGCACGGTTCTGGACAAACACTTTGTTTATCTACAAGTTGATTTGCTCTAGTCTGTCGTGGATACGCGTCAGGACTATCCAGATCCGTGCCTGGGGTTGGTGGATACTGAAAAAAAAAAAGCCTAAAAACACCCTAAAAATACCCCCCAAACCCAAACCTCTTCTTGGAGAGTAGGAGACAAAATGCAACTTGTAATGTAGCAAATGAAACTCCCCCTTTGGTTAAGGTTCCCTGCGTCAGCAAAATATGACGTCACAAATGAAACTTCCCCTGTGCTGGAGTTCCCTGAGTTGGCAAAACATTACGTCACTCGGTTTACGCCCTGTCCACGTGTAAGCGATTCAGAACCCAAATTGACCCTTTCGGCCTTATCTATGTAAATTAAGTTCATGTCTTAAGACGGAACCTGGACCGTGTGGTCAGTCTGGAGCCAGGTTGGACACCGCGGTCCGGAGGTCTGCACGTGGGCGGCGACACAGCGACACCATGGAGGTAAAAAAGAGACAGCGTAATTTTAGTCTGGTTTATTTTAGTTGTTACCGTCCCGGTAACCCACGCCCTCGGCCTGTACTGGTGAGTGTCTTTGCCCTTGTATCCCCGTAATGTAAATTGTCCCCTTTCGGAAACTTGTACTGAGGTAAATTGGCCCCTTTGCATACTTCAATAATTATTGTAAACTAAGGTGACCTGCAACGAATAAAACAGAGTTGGAGCGAGAATTGAACCTTGGCTTGGTGTGGTGAATATAACAGCCTGCTTTAAGGTGACAAGTTCTACTTCCTACACTGATAGTAATACGTTGCCCTTCCTTAGAAATGGTTTTATAAAACTCTCCATACACGCCCTTAAATTACCCATGATGCCCCTGACACGTGGGCGCCGCCATGTTGTGACCTGTGACCCGGCGCGTGGGACAGACAGTCAGAAGCAGCTCCGCTCACAAACCAAGGACAGAAGTCCTCTAAAAACTCCCGTATACATCACCAACCGGACCGACTCACAGGACTAACCCATGGCGCCCGTACCGAAGGTCCAGCCGGCGGCGGGGGACCAGCCCGCCGGGATCCGGGCCATCCTGCTCGGGCCGCCCGGTGCCGGGAAAGGCACTCAGGTAAGAAATTTCCACCTACCTGGAAATCTCCAAGCAGATGTTGTCTGGAACATCGTGGCTTTTCTGACTTCTCTGAGAGTATTTGGGGAGGTTGGCTGTTAGATTAGGGGTGAGGGGCTGTCAGAAAAGCCAGCTTCTACTAACATGGCCTAATATCTGCTGTTACTACCTGCAAACTGTATGTAACTTTACCAGCAAGACTTCTTTAGGATTTTTAAAAGGGTCACGAGATCTCTTGATAACAGTTAACGTCTTACAGATACTTTTACTGTGTGATACTTTTAGTTGAACTTCAGGCTACCGTCCCAAATTTGCCATGATGCTAGATCCTTTCAAGGAAGTCAACCCCATTTATTGCGAACGGATTCTTGGGTCATAATTCACAGGTTTTTCATTAATTTTTTGTTCAGCAGCAAGAAGTTTTCTTTACCACAATCTGTGTGTACTGCGATACTGCAATCAATAAAGGGGTTATGCATGGGGGGGCTACTATGTCATTTTTGGGAAGAATGTTTGGATCGACATTTAATATGATTTTCATTGACTTTCATATTGATGTCAAAGAGGTTACTATATCCAATGTGTACTTTGCTATAAACTGTGTAACGTTATTTTTTCTTCCAGGCTCCCAAGCTGGCAGAGAAGTACTGTGTATGTCACCTCGCCACAGGTAGGACAAGCTGAAGGAACAAAATACATTGTTTTTTGCGATGCCTCAGGGGCGGAGCCATTGGTATACTACTGCAATTGAGTGGAAAATATTTTAAGAATTCCACGAATGCACTCCCTAGGGAATTAAATTTTGTCAACAAGATAACTCAAGAATTGCTAGATGGATTGGTTTCATACTTGGTGGGTTGGTAGGGTGTGACTAAATCTAGAAATGATAAGATTTTGGGCCCCCGAGTGGCTTCCCTTGGTACTGCAGCGGAACTTCTGGTCTTCATATCTCGCGATCTGGACATGCCTGGGTCATGATGGTAGGTAGCTGCTTGGAGAGAAGTCATGCGAGTTATTAAGGCCCCCTGCAGGCTCTCACCTATGTGACTTGGTTCAGTGCACAAGTCTGAGAAACTGGTCTGTCCTTGTTAAGATGTGACGTTGTTGTGTTCAGGTGATATGCTTCGTGCTGTTGTTGCCTCTGGATCTGAGCTTGGGAAAAGGCTGAAGGAAACAATGGACCAAGGTGAGTAGGACATGTACAAATAATATATACATCTGTGTATTTTACGTACCTTTGATCAGTTTCTTCACAAGATGACTTTGGCAATGTGAATTTTCAGCAGCAGAATTTGTTATATTTAGGCCACACCAATTTGATTTCTTGGTTAACAGATTTTTGAAGAAAAATAATGGAGCGGGCGGGCGAAAAAAAATAGAAATAAAAGCAGGCCTAGGCATCCTGTTATGGCCCAAAATGGTACCATAGGAGCCATGAAGTCAACATAACATGCTGGTTCAAAATTTAAACACTGAATTTTGAACTTTTAATGATACCACTGCATTGAAAGATGGAATAACTGTAACAACTAGGAAGAAAAGTACTGTTTTCAACTGTTCAGGGCAAAAAATGAGCATTTTGCACTTTATTCTGAATTTTTATTTTTATTTGCAAATCAGACAAAAATGAAGCGGGCGAATCCGTTAACTAAATAAGGATTGTTATATCACTGCTCACAGGTAAACTGGTTAGTGATGAGATGGTTGTGGAGATGATTGACAACAACCTGGACAAACCTGAGTGTCAGAATGGCTTCCTGCTGGACGGCTTCCCTCGTACTGTCACTCAGGCAGAGAAGGTAGGACTCACACAGGGGGATGGATGGAAGGAATGGGTGAAGAAAGGCATGGCTGATTGAAGTGTGAATGAATGAATGATTGGGCATATTAAAAAAGAATTAAATGAACTAGTGAAAAACGAAATTTCCCAATGAACGATGGATTGAATGAATGAGTGTACCTGAAAGAGAAAAAATAGTACCTGTAGTAAGTGATTTGTTGCCTATGGCAGCTGTTTTTTTTTTTTATCTTGGGCCACACCGACTTAATTTTATGGATAACATCTTCTGACGACCCCCAAACTAGTGCGCGCTAGTGAATTAAAAAAAAAAATTCCGGCCCAAAATAAAAATGCTACTAAACCACAGGTATACTCTGTACAAAGCTGGTATCCTGAATTTTGCGGCAGTACTTAGCAACGTATACGACGCACATGCTGGCTTTTTGCGGAATTTATAAATCGGCACTGTGGGTATGTTCTGAGTTCTTGAGTCGTGGTGCCATCCCCCTAAGCTAGAGTTACCACCGGCTCTGTACTGTTGCTAACTACCCAGGCCTAGAGTGCACGCGCGGATGTCATCCATAAAATTAAGTCGGTGTGGCCTTGGTTTCCTTCTTTAAAACCTGCCTTTAATTTGTCAGTTTTTCATCTGGTAGCAAATTGAGTTTTGTTTGTTTGTTTGTTTATTCGATCTCCATTAGATTTACATGAAATGTTTTAGTTGTTTATCTATGTCTAAATTTTATATAAATAAGCAATAAGGATTTATTGATTTATAAAGCCTTAAAGGATATTAGGGCAAAGAACTGGCATGTTCTGTGCAATGTTGACCTGTACCCTTTGACCTGTGACCCAGCTGGATGACCTCCTGGACTCCAGGCAGTCCCAGCTGGACTCAGTAGTAGAGTTCGGGATTGACGACTCTTTATTGGTCAGGAGGATCTGTGGCAGGTAAGACTGGTCATGATTGGAAGTGTGCTTATTTCTTTGTTGTAAGTTTAGTCACTCGTCTAGTAAGAATATATTTCTATATTAGTGAATACAATGTACCAGTATTTATCCTACATTCCCGGCACTGGCACTAGCACTAGTCCCACAGTCTAACCACTAGTACACTGAGTCCCACAGTCTAACCACTAGTACACTGAGTCCCACAGTCTAACCACTAGTACACTGAGTCTCACAGTCTAACCACTAGTACACTGAGTCTCACAGTCTAACCACTAGTACACTGAGTCCCACAGTCTAACCACTAGTACACTGAGTCCCACAGTCTAACCACTAGTACACTGAGTCCCACAGTCTAACCACTAGTACACTGAGTCTCACAGTCTAACCACTAGTACACTGAGTCCCACAGTCTAACCACTAGTACACTGAGTCCCACAGTCTAACCACTAGTACACTGAGTCCCACAGTCTAACCACTAGTACACTGAGTCCCACAGTCTAACCACTAGTACACTGAGTCCCACAGTCTAACCACTAGTACACTGAGTCCCACAGTCTAACCACTAGTACACTGAGTCCCACAGTCTAACCACTAGTACACTGAGTCCCACAGTCTAACCACTAGTACATTGAGTCCCACAGTCTAACCACTAGTACATTGAGTCCCACAGTCTAACCACTAGTACACTGATTTTTTCAGGCTCATCCACAAGCCCAGTGGAAGATCGTACCATGAAGAGTTTAACCCTCCTAAGGTGGAGATGACTGATGATGTGAGTCCAGCATTTGTTCAGACTATTAACACTCTTTAGACTATGAACTGAAATGTACTCCTAAATTTACTTACATGTAGCACAATGTACTAGTACAATGTAGTTTTAGCAGAATTATTTCTTTTCACTGGTGACTCACAGCTTGACAAGAAATGCTTTTAAAGATTGGAATATCTGGTTGGGTAGTGTGAGTGTAGTAATTGGTCATTTGGTTCCTTTTTTTGACAAATGCTAAGACTGGGCTTAAATGCACTGCTTTTAATTGCCATGCACACTGTAACAGTGTAACAGTAAGGGGTTTATAGGCGCTACCAACTGATCTGGCAATCGGGTCTAGACCTTTTAGACCCTGTTCATACCAGACTTACATTTAGCGGTTTCAACCGGTTTTTCAAAAACCCGGCTAAAACCCTTAGCGTTCATACCAGACTTTTGATAACCGATTAATCGGCCATGACTGCAGTTTGAATAACCGTTCCTCCCGCTCTTCCGATTGTTGTCCTTGGCCTTCTTACTTGTATGCCGTCTTCAGTTTTTTTTTTTTTTACCTTACTGCGGCACTGATCCTTTATCTTCAAGAAATCAGCCTCCTCCAACATTTTTGTTTCGGTAGAGCCCTCGCCCCCCCCCCCAGCTTTTTCGAATTTGGCGACTCCTGCTCTCCAAACCTAAGTATCAGGAGCGTCTCGTCCGCCGACCAGGTTGCATATGCTGATTCCATCGCAAAATGAAGAGAAATCATGGAAAAACAGTGGAAACGAACTCAAGTTGGTCAAAACAACGCGATCTAAGAAGCTTGCAGGTCGCACTCGGTCAGGATGCTGACCCCGTGACCCCGAAATTATGACGCAAAAACCGGTTCAATAAACCCTTAGCGTTCAGACCAGGTTTTTCGGTGGAAAAACCCCACAAAAACCCTTCAAAAACCACCTCCCGAGGTGGTTTTTCAAAATCGGATTTAAACCCCTAAAAAACCGGTTAATTTGCGTTCACACCAGGTTAAATAAAAACCGGTTTTTGAAAAACCGGTTGAAACCGCTAAATATAAGTCTGGTATGAACAGGGTCTAAGCGGAGAGGTTAGAGTGCCTGTGGACTGGTGCCCGGGTTTGGTCGTGGGTTCGAACCCCGGCCCGGGACCAGTGGGGTTTTTACTGGCTCCTCCTGTTTCTTACAACATCAGCATCATTTCTTGTTTTATTTGACCAGTCTTTTCCTTCTGACATCTGTTTGCTTTTCAGTCATATCAAGGACATAATCTGTATAATGTCCTTGGTCATATGTATGCAACTCACTGACAGAGCCATGAAATGAAAAATGTAGTGTTCAGCAGAAAATGGGGTAAAACCAGGGGAAAAAAAGGTAAAATGGATAGCATGAAAGTTCATCTGTGTTGGTACAAGTCATTATGAAATAAAGACTAAGCTTTAACTTCCACACAAGAGCTCACAGACCTACCCTGAACAGAGACGGGGGGCGACACAAGTTATCTGGCACGTATGACCCGCTACTATGGTGACGTGTCTATGACGTCATGTTCCAAGAGTAGACGGGTCCATTCCGTGAACAAGGTTGATGGAGTCAACCGAAAATTTGGGTTAAGTCCCATTTCTGTAATCTAAGTGTTGGAAGTTAAAGCTTAGTCTTTATTTCATAGGTAAAATGGATGTTAATTTTGTTGTCAGGTGACTGGTGAACCGTTGATACGTCGGTCAGACGACAATGCTGCGACGCTGACCAAGCGACTGGAGGCGTATCACAACCAGACCAAACCACTGGTGGACTACTACCAGAGGAAGAACCTCCACGCCAAGGTGGACGCTGCACAGAGTCCAGACATCGTCTTCGCAAGCATCCAGGCAATTTTTGACCAGGCAACCAGTAAAGATAAAGTGCTGTTCATGTGAAAGTCACCAGGGGGCAGTGCTTCTTATAACATAGGGATGTAGCTGGTGGAACTTGATAACCATAATAAACAGTATACAATTGGTGGCAAAATAATTAAAATGTTACATGTCCATCTACAACTTTGGGACCCAACTGGAATAGCACAAATTATGGTGTTATGCCTCATAGAAATGTCAGACAAAATTGTGTCAATTTTTAAATATTGAAAATGAAATACACAAACTTAAAAGACAAAGCTGTTAAGTACAAGTAAAAAAAAGTACAAAAACTGGCCATATTTCTACATGTTTAACAGTTGTACAATGATTGGTTTCTCTACAATGTCTGTCATATATACTAGGACACAGTAATACATGTACATGTACAAAATGTATCTCCAAGTAAATGCTAGCTTGAGAGATTGAAACATTTTTTTGATGCACTCTAAAAAGTTTGAAATGCAAAGTGACCAGTGTTGACCATTTCTGTCTCAGGTAACCATTGTCTGATGTCTACAGTCTCATTGTTCCAGTCTAACTCTGGAACTCCCCATTCCCTCTTAAATGTAGAATATGTCATGGTGCAATAGTGGACTTGGGGCTTTAGAAATAGCCAGGATTTCTTTCTAAAGCCTTTTCAGCTTTAGTAATTGTTCTCTCAGTCACTTCCTGCCAAAAACAACTGTCAGCGTCGCACATACTCTGTACATCTTTTAATGACGCCACATAACGAGTTATAAACACTTTTGGCAGGGAAACGACCGAAAGAGATTACGAAAGTTCTGTTATTTCAAGGAGGTTCAATACAATATTTTAAACCTCCTTGGTTATTTACAAAGGAATTATCACAATAGAATAAGGTGAAAATTATTTTTCTCTTATACACATGACTATAGGTTAACAATAAAGAGTATTATTTGGTGTCAACACTTGCTTCTTGTTAAATTTATTATTTAACCCCCATGTGAAGGGACAGTAGTGTTTAGAGTAGACTGACCCAGAACAGGCACTGAACAAGACTGAGAGGGGTGAAGGAGGCCATATACATCAGGGCCCATCAGTCTACTGAGGAAGACCAGAGTGACTGGTCCAAAGCTCTAGGTAAGAGAACTTTTTTGTGTTGGACCAAAAGTTTTAACTCTAAACATGTAACTACCAACACATGAACTTTCGTGATAGAAGGGACAGTAGGTGAAAAACAGCTGATGTGTAGAGCATTACACATATTTAAGGTATGTCACTTGGGTGGTTATGAGGTTAGCTACGGGTGTTTCGGCTCCTGTAAGAACTACAGTACCCGTATCACACAGCCTTTCAAAAGTTCCATAGAACTATGTAAGAGGTGCTAGTGTCACGGAAATGAAAAGAAACCTACAGTGGACCTCACTGGAAGACAGAAGAAAGATGTCTAGACTATGCATGATGTACAAAATGACTAATAAACTGGTGGATGTCCCAACTACTAAGTACCTAATACCAGCCCAGAAGAGAACAAGAAATAGCCACGCATTCAAGTACCAGAGTTATCAACCAAGGATTGAGGTGTTCAAGAATTCATTCTTTCCTAGAACTATCGCAGAGTGGAACTCACTGTCACCAAGTACAGTAGGGGCATTGTCAATAGATAGCTTTAAACAATGTCTAGAGCTAGAAGTTCAAGGGTTAGGTGTAACAAGTCGATCGGTGTAATATAGCCAGCTGCCGCCGCGCCGCGTGCCTGCGAAGCTGGTGTGTTACGCCGAAAGGCGGTTATACCGGCTATACAGATACAGATACAGAATAAATCAAGTGCACGTTGCATGCACTGGTTTTGAAAATTTGCTTACCATGTATTACATGTATTCGCACTTTGGAATTGATGTTACTGGTATAAAAATTTTATGTTTAGGGACACCAAATTTTGGCACATTTCATATTGAATTCTGTGTTTTCTCAAATGGGAATGACATAAAATACAACACGGTGTATTCCACATCACCCTCAGCTCTTCTGCTGGTAGGGCATAACATATTAATTTTACAGAGATAGAATAAGTGCAACTACAAAAGCAAAGAGAATACACAAGAGTATGACACAATACAGTAAACAATTTCATACTGCACTTTTAATCTTTAAGTAATTTCAACATCATCCAACAACTTTTCTCAGAAAAATGATATAATACAACCAGAGACACCTAGTATGCAAAAATACAACTGATCATTGTAAGTGGCTTGATCCTGATGGCTATGGAAATAAATAATCTTGATTTTAATCTAACATTTAAATACTATTACATACAACATTGTCAGTGGAAGTACATGTATGTACAAGCATCAGAATACATATTCATGGCCAAAATTTGTCAATAAGTAATTGTCCTTGGTTCCTTATGGCTGGATCAAAAATGCATACATTAGGTTAAAAACATTAAATCAGAAGCATTTCAAATACATGTACATGGTAAAAATCACATGAAACACAGAATTTTATAGGATGTAAAATGGACAAAATTAGGCTGTTCTCTATAGAAGTAATTAAAAGAATATCAGGTTTAAGGTTTTTCTTGGTAATTAAAAGTTATATTTCTTGTTAAATATTCATTTCAAATATTCCAGTGCAAAAACTGTTGAAAGGCTCTCGGATGATTTGATGATTGCTTAGATGGGTTCCAGGAATTGTGTCATCATAAAATGTGATTACCATAATGCCAGCCAATCACAGTGCAGATGTAAGAAATCATGTAAGCTCATTGGCTAAAACACTTAATGGGATTTTCAGTCAAAATTGAGTCTGTTTTACTGAATGATGTTGCACTTCAGCAAAAAGGGTGCCTCTGTTATTACAGAAAAGGTATAATGGTGATGTTAATTTCATTAACCAGTCATTTGGGCTTTTAACTGCAGTAAAAGTGACACAAATTAGGCCACACCAATTTAATTTGTTGATTCTCAGATGCGCCTCTTCATTTTTTTCTGATTTGCAAAAAAAAAAAAAAATTCTGTTTCTGACGCAACTCAAAAATGCTCATGTTTGCCTGCAACAGTTGAGGAAAGTCCTTTTCTTCCTAGTTGTTACAGTTTTTTCATCTATCAATGCAGTGGTTTGATTAAAATGTCAAAGTTTGTTCTTTAAATATCAACCCAGCCTTTTGTGTTGAGTTCATATCTCCTATCGTAGCATTTGGGGCTATAATAGGAAGCCTAGACCTGTTTTATTTCTATTTTTTTCCCAGCCTGTTGCTTCATATTTTTTCTGAAAAAGTCCGAGAACCAACAAATTAAATTGGTGTGGCCTTACAGTAAAATACTGCCTTTTTTCTACATAAGATTGGAGGCACTTCCCTTGGGTCCCTCACCACAGTTTAGGCCTGATTATGAAAGAATGAACATTAACAAGGCACAGTCCAGATTCTATATCATACATAGTACTCTTACAGTAGAAGGCATAGTAACTGACTGGTAGGAATTCTATCATACACGTACAGCTATTCTGGGATACCAAACCATTACACAAGGACCAGATCCTCCCCTATAGTTTTGTATATCTCCATCAAAAATACACTCTTAATAAACCAAGGGAATTGCTACACAACTATGTCCAATGTTTTCACATACACAGCAACCAAAAGAAAGGTTTTGAATACTTTTGAATACCAAATCTTGCACCTGGTTGATGTCTTGTTGATGAACCCCTGATTTAGATTTTTTGGTTATCCCAAGTCACCCTTTTCCTTAAATCTTGATTTCCTTTTTTTAAAATACTGATTAAGGCCCAACTCGTTATCTTTAAGTACAAGCAGATATCCTGTAGATCATGTATCATATGGCAGTGAGATAGGTACAACTCTATGAGAATAAATTGTTTTCTAACCGATTATTAGACTGACGTTTGTGCTTGTTGTTTGTTGCATTGCTAAAATTTATGTCTTTTCCAGAAAGACGCCATCTAATATTAAGTTTAATCTTAAGGCCAGTCATGATTTTGTATCTTTGTCTCAAAAGTAGTGGCAAAAATAAAATTGTAAAATATATTTGAGATTACAAAGAATAAGAAGGAAGACAATCTCCAACTACATTCAGGTACGAGAGAAGCTTAATTAACACAATTTTAACACTGAAAATCATACAGCCTTTTGAGGCATGATTTTTGGTCACACAATTAAGTACACTGGCAAGGTCTCAAAATGTACAAAAGTCATGCTTATCAATGTGTACAGTCAAACCTCTGCTTTGCTATTAGGGACACATATCATGATCATGATCATCTGCATTCATACAATACATTTATTAACATTTACAATATTTCAAGATCAACAACAAACTACAAAAGGCACCTACAGTTATACATTTTGTACAAGACAATTTCAGGGCTGCACCCATTTGATTTCTTTGTTCTTTGTTTTTTTAATATCATATAAAACTGGGTATTAGTATTTTAAACACTTGCATTAAATTTTGTATTAAAAAATAATTCAAAAAGGAAAACTCATTTTAGCAAACATACAACATTAGGCACTTCCTGATTGGTCCATAGGAATCATGTGACTCCAAGGGAGGAGGGTATGTGCAGCATGTTGGCATAATTCGAACGCACTGCACCTGCGCAAAACCCGTAATGTATTGTGCATAGCACTTCGGCAGAATGTCTCATATAAGGTGGTATTCGCATATATAAGGCTAACCTCCCGTCTGTAGTTTCCAAATGTTATGTGGAAAAAGATATCTTCTGCAACAGGGAAAATTCTGATGCAATGTTGACCAAAAATTTAACGAAAACCGTGAAAATACAGGGTTCTGCGCAGGCGCAGTACGTTCTGCTGACGTGCTGGTACATGTATGTGCAGGCATGTCGGCAGGACATATATAACGTTCCATCTGCATGAAAACTGGATTTTTTACAAAGTATTTTGCTGGATGTTTCGTCAATGTAACATCAGAATTTGGCCCATTGTAGACCATATTTTCTGCGACATAACATCTGCAAACTATAGAGATGATGTCATCCTTAAATACACAAATGGCAACAATAACTGAGACGTTCTGCCGAAGTGCTATGCACAATACATTAGAGACGTGTAGTGCATTCTGCTTTAGGCACTTCCTGATTGGTCTAGAAGAATCATGTGACTCCAAGGAAGAAGGGTACGTGCACAACTTATGGCTCAATTGAAAGATGCAACAAAAACTATAAAAAAATCAATAAAGTAATGTAAAAAAAAGATCATTGGATGGTTTCTTTGGGCAAAATAAAAATGGACAAGAAAAATCTGAGAACCAATAGACCAAAGGATGCAGCAGTCTTTTGACAAGACTGGAAACAGCATCAAATCTTTTGTTTGATTTGAAGGCAACATTCATGTCAATATAAACATCCACGTCTAGTTTACAGCAACAAGAACAGAAAACATACAGAAATGGTTTTTCTTTTCCCCAGTTTTGGAGGTGCCTCTCCACTGTGGTATCACGACACCGCAGAATGTTTTGTTTTGACTCTGAACAAATCTGAAACATCGCAAAAACCTCCTTATTTTCACTTTTAACACAAAATTAAATCCCTCCTTACAGTACCTCAAAGCAGATTACATGTACTAGAAGTAGAAGGCAACTTGTTGAGACCTGTCTATTGGGGTTTTAAACATTTCATAAAAATTGATGGTTATTTGTTCTTTTTTTTTAAATTGTAAGGCCACACCAATTTAATTTCTTGGTTAACGGATTCGCCCGCTTCATTTTTTTCTGATTTGCAAAAAAAAAAAACAAATTCAGAATCAAGTGCAAAATGCTCATAGTTTGCCCTGAACAGTTGAAAACAGGCCTTTTCTTCCTAGTTGTTACAGTTATTCTATCTTTCAATGCAATGGTATCATTAAAAGTTCAAAATTCATTGTTTAAATTTTGAACCAGCCTGGTGTGTTGACTTCATGGCTTCTATCGTACCATTTTGGGCCATAATAGGATGCCTAGGCCTGTTTTTATTTTTTCTGCCCGCCCGCTCCATTATTTTACTAGAAAAATCCGTTAACCAAGAAATTAAATTGGTGTGGCCTAAATGTGTAACTTTAATGTACATATTAGAAACATGATAACTGCTTGATATGTTTTAGTCCTTTTTGATTTGTATTAACTGCTAAATGATATTGTATTCATTGACGATTATTCAGTTGTGATCTTTGCTTGACTGTCCAAAAAGACAATATACCACATGTACAGAACATTGTCATAAGACGACTTTTAATTCTTCAATCATTATGTTAGCTTTAAATTAATGAAAATGTATTACAAAATAAACTGTATATAATTTAACATCAAGGCAGATTACTTTAAATTTGAACACAAATTTCGTCTTATGATGACATTCAGTACATTTACTAAAGACAGAAGTTCAAACCAAAAGACAAACTTGAATCTAGTATATACTAGGTAGTCAGGAAGGACACTTAATGAGTTTTTGGTTTGATGACCCATTTCGCATGTGGGTTGACCTTCACTAAGGTCGCTATGTTGGTGTCCATGTCCAAACATCGTTCACCTGTCAACAAGACATGAGCAAAGTGTGAGAAAACTTTCAAGTAAAACAACAAACACAACATCAGCTAAGAACTATACCAGACTAATAAGAACAATTAATAAGAACTTACAAGAACTGTACATGTATGTCACTAACATTTTGAACAATATACACTTTTTATATCATAAAAACAACATAGTATCACAATACAAAGCAAAGAGAACAAAAGGCATTCAATTTGATAAATACAATATAATGCACAATGTAGCACAATTTACGTAACATGTATTGGCATGTTCAGCTTATAAATTTGCAACTGAATGGGCCTATTTTGGGTAGATAGAAGTGATAGTGTCAAACCTCTGTAAACATTGTAAAAGAGCTGAACAGTCTTATCGAGAAGAGTTTGTTTGTTTGTTTTTTTATTTTTTTAACCAGGAAATGTATGTTTGCGTTTTTCAAAGATTCCTGGGGTGTGGGGTAACTAGGTGTTATGTGAGCCACAGCTACATGTATATAAGCCTCATTGCACTGTCAGCTACAATGTAACAAATAATTCTATGCTTTGTCCTATAAGCATTATGATTCATGTTCAAACAAAGAAGATTTAGACCATTGACAGGTGGCCAAAAGCTGATTTGGATCCTGAGGCTACATGAATTTAAAACTAGAGAAGTAACATTTGCAAAGCAAATGCATAATGTTTCCCTTCGGACATGGTCTACCCTCAGGCTGTTAATTCTTACTAGTATATGGTGATAGGAGCAGAGCAGACCATGAAATTGCAACATTATGTAACCCAACACCAGTCACCATGGTGACAGACATCAACAAATCATGTCATTGGTCAGGTCATACTTTATTAGGTCACTATTTGGAGAAGAAGAAGAAGAAGAGGAAGAAACCGAGCAGAAACAATATGTTTTCCTTCGGTAAACATAAATATTGGTGTGAAAAAGTTTGTGGTACGTACCAATGTTTCCACCTCTCTCGTACAGGTACGTGTTGTTTCTGGCGTACACAGCGGAGTGTGGCGGGTTGATACAGCCTGGCGGTGCATTCCCAGGCTCGTGTGAACTGAGAAATGTGAATAAGTGAAATTATCTTAGTAAAAGGTTGAACTTTATTCCAACACACAATTGTACAGGGATCAAATTTTCAGCGACCACTGTCGCCTTCATCAGGATAATTAATGACCAATCACTTCACAACGTGATCTTGCGAGAGTTACGGTTTACAAACACGTGACCTTATTCACACAAGATTGTACTGATATGTGACGTAAGCAATTGATCAAATTGCTTACGTCAAGTGAAATTATCCATACAGGACAGAAAAACTGGACATCCTGTTGCAGTACCAAGGAAAGTCACTAGGGGCTCTTCACAAATACATGTAGACTCATTATTACTGCCCAAGACTTTTTAGTCCTATTGTAATGTCCTCACAGAATGTAATCAGTGTTCTAGCCAGCCTGAAATTGTTATCTGTCATTTCAATTTCATTTCACATACGGGTACTGTAACATCATGTCAACCTGGAAAATGTGGAAATCTTGACCCTGAAACACTATTTCCTGCAAATTTTGCTGGTAGACCAAAATTTAATGACAAGTTTCTTTGGGTGAAAATTACACAAGCCTAGGACTTCAGCTTGACACCCCAATTATTGTCTGTCACAGCTGACTGAAGTTAGGTAAAAATTTTTGTCCACCATGAAATTCTGTCAACAGAATGACAGACGCTGACTTGAACACTGGATAATACATTATAATAGTGCACGGAGATAAGATGTAGTTGTAGTAGTAGTAATCCATTCTTTATTACCTTCGCCAAGAAGGTTATGTTTTCAGTAGCGTTTGTCCGTCTGTGAACAGCATAACTCAAGAAGCTTAGTATGCATGCATTGTCATGAAACTTGGTAGGTGGGTAGGTCTTAATGAGACCTAGAAATGATTAGATTTTGGGCCCCCTGGCGGCTTTTGTTGGTACTGCAGCAGAACTTCCGGTTTTGATATCTCGTGATCTGGACATGCTAGGGTCACGAATTTTGGTTGGTAGATAGCTCTAGGGGTAGGGAAGATGTGACATGAGTTTAGACCCCCTAGCGGCTTTTTCTGGAACTGCAGGAACGATTCTTGAAAAATCTCCGAAGGTTGATAACTCAAGAACCGGTTGACGGATTGTCATGATTTTTGGTATGTAGGTAGCTGAAGTGATGCTTGACATAATCAGATGACAATTATGCAAATCAGGTGCTAATTTGCATAATTAATGCGGAAATTCTATAAACCTACTTCATTCGATAATAGGACTATGAAACACTTGTGACATGTAATTGAGATCTAGAAAAACATCTGAGGATATAAATTATGTAAATGAAGACATAATTTGCATAATTAATGGGGAATCGTTATAATTTCATAGTTGTAATTGCTGGGAATTTCATACTTGCCGCATTTGGAAGTTAAGTGAAGGTGGACATCAATGAAGATAATTTATTCACATTATGACCTCATTTGCATAATTTATGAGGAAGTGCTAGAATAGCCTATTTTGTTAAGATAAGGCTGTCATTGGGTGGAGAATATGATCAAATGATGTAATCCATGCTAATGACGCTCTTATTGCGAAATCAATTATTAAAATTGTATAATCCGTCAACCGCAAGGGTTAACATCATTTGGCGAAGGTATGAGATCGTGGAACTCTTGTTCTCAATATGCTTGTTCGGTCATACGACCGCTTTTCGACAAGGTCGAGAAGGGTGAGGGGGGGGGGGGGGTCACGGATTTCCAAGATAAACAAAAAAAATTTAATACATAATAAAAAGTACACATGTAAATAAATTGTCCATCATCAGTCTGTGTGGGGTCGTGTGGCACAATGGCAGCGTGCGCGACTTGGAATCAAGAGGTCTCGGGTTCTAGTCCTGACATGCCACCGATCTTGTGCCCTTGGGAAAGGCACTTTACACGACTTTCCCCACATGCACTAGACTCAAGTGAAAATGAGTATTGTCTGTCCATTATTCGTTTCTATGTGCGGGACACAACACCAGCAACAGCTCCCTCCGTTTCCGCGTGTATTGCATCGTTGCAATTTCAATAATAAAAGTCTGTGTGCGTAGATAGAAGCTTAAAAGCAACTACAGTACTTTAAAGAAAACTTCAGCTCACTTTTCTTGGCTAGCAGATCTTCCTCTGAACCTTCTGACGACATCTCCTGCTGTCAGCTGTGGGTCCAGGTCCAGAACCATGGCTGTCTTAGGCAGGTCCGGAGCCTCCACACGTATCACACCTTCAGGCAACAGATCCTACAAACAACAGACAGACTGCTCGTACACTCACATCTAGATACTAGTAGTCAAACCTGATCAACTGCCACCTCATCAAATGGCCACCAGATTTTTTCAGATCGCAATTTTGTTTGGAGTAAGGCCACACCGATTTAATTTTACGGATGACATCCTCAGAAGACCCCCAAATAAAAATGCTACTAAAACACATGAATACAAAGCTGGCATTGTGAATTCGCGACGTATATGACAAGGCGATACATGCTGGCTTTTTTGTGGAATTTATGAATTGGTACAGTACTTACGTATGTACTGAGTTCTAGAGTGTTGGGGCTTTGAATTCGATAGCCTCCGTATTGTCGCTAACTGCATGTACCATGGAGTATCCAGGCCTAGAGCCAGGCCAGAGCCTCGGTGGACGTGATTTCTTTTTTTTTGAGGGCGACAGGTGAAAATCAATGCGCGCGC